TCAAGCTTTACAAGCATATGCTATGGGAACAAAATATTAAATCTACTACGAGGGAGATTAAACTCGCTTTTGCACGAGAGCAGAATCTACAATGTACTCGCGATAAATCCAGTCGAAAAATCAATTCATCATATTGATAATAATATTGTACTATCTTACATGATTTGGGAGATAGAAAAAAAATGGCCGAGAATATGCTGCAACATTTTCATGGTAGTCTACATTTGTTTAAAAACCTGCAAAATCAAGTAAAAGAACACAATCATGTCACAAAAGGTATTTTTGGGACAAAAATTATAGATTAATTATAGATTATAAATTAATTATAACATATTTTAGATAAAATATATCATAAGTTATAAAGAGAAATTATAGATTAATTATAAATATATAGATTATATATAGATGAAAAATATTATAGGAATTTTTACATGTTATCATTAATATAAAATTCATTTAATATTGCTATAGACATAACAGAGGGAAATGTAAAATATGATCACATGTTTGCATCACCAACAAAATATCCAAAGTATCACAATATAGAAATCAAGAAAGGAAACGAGGATTTCGAAGCTGATCATTGGCCTAAGATATCTGATTGTGATGGTTCCATGCTAATGTTTGGAGATGGAAAACAATATCTTCCTATTTATTTGTCGCCTGAAAACAAGGGTTATGCGTAAGTGTACCTCAAAATATACTTATATATATATATTAAGCTACCATTGCAAAACGTTAATAGCATATATTTTTCTATATGTCATTAGAACGCATTTGTTCGTGAACGAATTGATCGATATAGAACCATGGAAAAAACATCCATTACCCTGGCATCCACCAATATGTCAAACGCCTAAATCATTTAATAAAAAATATATTGCACATACACTACTAGATGCGACTACGCATCAACGTTCATCGGACGCTTCTCTGAGACCTTTTTTACACAATTTGGTTCAAACTGCGGACCTTGCGGAAATTGGTCAAAGGATTTTGACAGCAACTAAAGCGGTACGATTTATTATTATACATAACATAAGTTATTATATGTCTAATTATAAAATTTAACTGTGTGTGTTAATTAGGAAGTAGCAGCCTCATGGGTATTGTCAATGCTTGCATCTCTACATTGGAGAATAGTAGGGAAACCTCGTTTAGCCTTGGATTGCCTACAGTTAGCATTGGATGATGTTCCTACAGAATTCAGGGATGTACCTTTTGTTAGTATAGCTTCGATATATCACAAAGTAGGCTTAATTGATGATGCAATAAGAATTACAAACGAAGCCTTGGAAATTAACGCTGTAGAGGTATGTATAAACAATATAATTTAATTTCTTCGTTTTATATATTGACGAGTTAAAAAATTATTTAATAATAATAAATATATGTATATTTAGCCAATGACCAATTTCTTATTTAGTATATTATTGAATATAAAAGGAAATCAGACAGGAGCTATATATTATTTGAAACAAGCATTAAGAGTGGATTTAAATTTGTATGATGGTAAAGCCTTAATGTTATTGAAGACGTTGACCTGTCGAGAAAAATTTAATGTTATTACAAGTAATCATGCAAGTATGGCTAAGTATATATAATTACTATTGTTTCATTACAATATACTTATTTCACTATATAACTGCAATATTATTAGACTTAATGCATATTTTTAAAATGCTTGATTTTCTGTGTCACATTTTCATTTTACTTTAATTTCTTTTTTTTCTTATTATTACATGCACTTATATTTGCAATTTGCATGAAATGTATTTGTATGTTTTTTTTCAGTTAATTAATTTTGTTCACTATCAATGGTACTATATTCTAAAAATGCAGGTTATTGTGATGAATAATGACAAATATGTCATAATCATAGGCTGTGAGAAACAAGGAATTAATTTACCCAAACATTCTACGAACCTGCCTTCTGTATTACTTACTAAGTATAATATGCAAGCAAGTGATATATTTTTGCGCAAACGACAAGCCAAGAATTGTAAACATATTATATATACTTCAACAAAGACTGAAGAAATAGGTGTGTATTTTCGCACGCATATCTTAACAAATACTTTTTACACTGTGTATTTTCTGTTTGACACAAACTTATGTTTGTTTTTGCTTAACGTAAATAAAATTTATTAGTTTTGGTTTAAAATTATGCACTTTTATGCTGTCATAATCTTGTCTTGTTATTTGTTGCTTTTTTCCTTGTATACAATAGTGATACAATAGCAAATGTAATAAAAATTATATTCTTACTTATTTATATATGTCTCTATATTATTTTACCTGCTGTGGATGTCATGTAATGTTTGATATTAACTATTGTATTATATTACAAATTGTTTAACACTCAAATTTCTTAATAGAAAAAATACTTTTTGTTTCTTTAATAGAAATTATATATAAATTTTCTATTACTATATTTTGATCGATAGTTAAAAATATTATTGTAGGAACATATTGCTGGAATAATCACAAAATTGAGTTAGTGGATGTGTCGTACTATAATAAGAAAGAAAATATGCATCAAAGTCTCGTACATTCATTACTACTTCCTAATAGCGCAACTAAGCTACATGAACCACACATAGATATAAATCGAATTTCAAATGATGTAAGCAAATGATATAAATAATCTCTCACAGTAAATAATGAAAAAATATAATATATATATATATATATATATATATATATATATATATATATATATATATATATATATAAAGATTGTTTCATATTATTTTATGCACATGCATTACATTCACAGACTTTTTACACATGATTTTATTAACTAATCAATACAATCTATGTAAATGGTTTATATAAATAATTATATAATTTTTAATACCTTTATCAAAGAATATGCTACAACCATATACCGGTGGCACATTCGTTAAAATATCTGACAATCAAAAAAAATCATATTACCCGAGTAAGGATGAATGTGATGAGCTCAAGTATGAGGATTGGGCTGCTTCACTATTTGTATTTCATGAGTTTTTACGACGAAATATGACGTACGTAATCGGGAAAGTATAAGAAAAATATATAATCAGCTCCTGTATAACATAAAATATTTCTATAACGGATTCGAATATAATGTAAAAAAGTTGCAACAATATACGGTGTAAATATATAAAGCTGTAAATAAATTTCAAATTTTAATCGGATATTTAATTTCTATATCTAAATTCTACTTCAATTATAAATAAACATTTTATAATTATAATGCTAAAGAAAAAAGTTATGTTTATTTTAAACAATGCATTTTCGAATTTTATATATTTTTCATTAATATATATACGGAATAAGTATAGTGATCGTACAAATTATTTCTAAATCAACATTTCAATTTCAGCATCGAAGATGAGATTGAATCATTGGACGATGATACCCCGACTTTACAACCGACATGCGACAAAGGTAGTTCTGAAATAAATCGCATAAACGAAATGGAGCAATTTTCACGATCGTTGCAAAACAAAACTGAGCTCGATATGGCTGAGTGGCTGATGATGATAACTGAAACGCAGAATGACACTTTGCAAGGACTCGGGACCAAAATTGCTTTGGCACTGCAAAATGTAATTCGTCAAGTATTATAATTACATTCTTGTTTTTTGCATTTACATATAATATCGTTTATTATTTCAAATTAGCATTGTGCTTCTTGGACCTTGGCGATAGCAGCATCATTTTATTGGCGCGCGACAGGCGATAGTCGCAAAGCACTGGATTGTATGTGGCAAAGCCTGGAAAATACTCCGAAAGATATGCAAGACATACTTCTCGTAAATCTGGCGTCTTTCCTCAATTCGCAAAATTATCTCTACGAGGCTCTTGAAGTCACTCAGATAGCGCTTTCAATTGGCCCGGACTTTGTAATAAATCATTATGTTCTCGCTAATCTTTATGCCGCTTTGGTAAATTATAAATATTTCACTAACAATAAATGTCAAAGTTACATATCATACAATTGAAATAAAAAAAAAAAACGAACTAATATATTTATTCTTACAGGGTGATTTTGAGACTGCTGCAAGTTTTTACAAGTCCTCCCTCAAACTCGATCCAAATTTCGAACCAGCTATTACGAAGTTGAGAGTGATATTGTGCTTTTTGTTATTCGAAGATAAAAGATCCGAGATGGACGAAATACTGCGGAATATTTTGTGAAGCCGTCTCCTGCAAATTAGACACATTGTTAAAAGTGCCTTTTTACATTGTTAATATGGAATATAAAGAAATAGTATAAAAGCAATTGTCACAGACTATTATATGTGTATTTTTAACTTTATAAAACTATAGAAGTATATTATTTTTGAATGTTTTGAATAATACTTTAAAATTTTACAAAAATTAGAGAGTTGAAAAATATAAATTTTTAAATATGAGTTTCTGTAAATGATTGTCGAACTTTTCAAATTAATTGTTGTGTACTTTTTTAGATATACATTATTTAATTATTTATTTATAAATATAGTATGTATTTTTATAATTGTTGTAATTTCTCTTTGTTCATTAAATGAAATAAATATTGAATATTACTAGAATGTGAGAAGCCTAAAGAAAAATGTCATCATGATATTCTTATTTGTTGATTTATGTCAGAACTATTTAACTACACGATTAAAAAGATGAATAATATTCAAATAACTATTCGCTTGCGAGCTTAAATTTACACCAACAATCGGTCAGTTCTTATTCCTGGGCTACAGGGTCGACTTACTAGACGAATATTCAGCTGCGAATATTTTGTAGAGTCTCATCTCGATGATGCATGCAAAATCTCCATGTTGATAAACACAGTTATCCAGATAAGTTATCGGCGGAATGCGATGAAAGAGTCGAATAGACCTGCAACAGAAATAATCAATGCTGAAATATATATTCCAATTAATTATTAATTCCTTTTACACTTCTGATACGATATATTCACATTGATAAATAAAATATTAATATCATGAATATTTTTATCCAAAAATAAATATTGTCCTATATAAAGCTTCAGAATAAATAAAAACAAATAGAAAAACAACAAAATTTATTTGCAAATATAATATAGATTAATGAGGAAAAAATATTATATTACAATAAGTCCTATTCTCCAATTTTTTAAATAAGAAATTTGACGTTTAAATTCTAAAAATCTTTTGTCAATTGAAGATAATTATTTTCGAGCTTTATTTTTTTTCTTTTGCTTATTGTTAGTTTCCGCAGAAATGTCAGTAGAAAAAGTCAGCATGCAAAGGACGTTGCACTTAGCAACACAATATTTTATTTTCATGATACAACTATTTATTCAATATATTTTTTATGTCATTTTATTTCGTGTATTTTTATATATTACAACAATTTGCTCAACAATTTCGAAGAGAAACAAACGATGTACCTTTTAAGCGAATAATTAATATAATATCTCAATACACACTTAACGTTTACTCCTTGCAAGAACAACATTTTCGTTTCCTTCCCGCGACGGTTTCCAGCGTCGAAGGGTGATGTGCCATGGAAGCCCCATAATAGTCGCTGTCACACGCACAAGAGTGTTATTTCTAATCTTGTGCAGTGGCCAGCAGCTGCACTGGGGTCCAATGTTACCCCCCATTGCATCTTACGGTATTTTGATAATTCGCGTTCAATCGGGTCCCGATTCGCGTGCCTAGACTCATATATGAATCATATCACGCATTAATTTGATGTCCCTTATAAAGAAAATATCAAATAGACGCTTATCAATGTTATGTTACTCCATTGACAATAAGACTGAGAAAAATCTATTTGATTAAAATTATGGCCTACAGTTGCTAAATAAACTTGGATAAAATTTGGAAAACAAGACAAGAGAGAAGAAAATAAAATAAGATTTAGGAAATATATTGATTTCTCTTATTTAGAGTTTAATTAATTTGCTGAATTATTTACTAAAACATTTTTTTTACATCTTCCATGAGATAATAAAATGTCTATGTTTTTTCACATGAATTAAACACAAGTCAACATCTCGAAATTTTCAAGTAATTTTTATATAATTTTGATTTTTACTTTATTTCTCTTTCTTTCTACGGATAAATAATTTATATTGCTGATTAAGAAGTTACAGAAAATTGATATTGTATATTATATACATACAAGTAAGAGAACGAAATATATGTATAAAAAGATGTCTTTTTTTTTTACAAAATTCGATGGAGCTAGGCAATCATTTATTTACCTTTATTTATTTTCATTGATCGTTTATTTTAGCATTGTAGACCGTCTAATATTTGATTAAATATTTTATTGACGTGCATAATACGCGATACTATCGTCATAACTCGATTTCTGATTTGACATTTAACATATTTAAGACCTTTCAAGACTTATTTAATGCGTTTAATGCGTGCTTGTCATTGTTTCCGTCATCGTGTATAATTGTTGGAAAGATTGAACAGTAACAGTCAAGGATGTATAAACGTCACGGATGAATAAATTAAAACATGTAAAAGTTCAACTACTTTTTCTGTGCCTGTCAGGACGCTTTTTTTCCTTCACACATTCGCGCAAGCACAATTCCATTAATTAAAAAAATATAAAAAAGTAGTCTTCTAAAAGTATTTTTTAATTATTTTTTTCCTACGATAATTCTTGCAAATATTACATGTATTAATATATAAAATTGTTACATATAAAAATTGTATTACAAGATGCAACTTCATCGTTTGATCGACCGATCCCTTCTCGAATTTTTGAATTTTGAAAATATAATAACTCCAAGAGAAAGTACTTTGGAAAGAAGAGACAGATTTAAAAAGAAGTAACACAGAATCGAGAATGTCAAGACGAGAATGGAAGACGCGTTTCCGCGATAAAGTAAGCTGTGGGGACTGGACATCTGGCGATTCTATAGGCCGGTAGGACACAGTTCAGCTCAAATACAAAATTCATGGCATTCGATCTTCCTAACTGTGCACGCTTACGACAGACCTACTGCCGTTTGTTAAGTGTTACGCTAAAAAGCGTTCCCTGTCGATTTAATGCCACCCCATCAGAAAAAAATTGAGCTCACGGAACAATCTATGTCGATGAAAATTATTGACGTTACAGCGCTAAAAATAATTTCCAGTCCTTAATACTAAATACCGATCTCGTTAAAGAGCCAAGATATATGACTTGCTTGCAAGATATGAATCGTGCCAAGTTAGCAAGCGAATTTTAGAAAATTATACATGTCACCATGCGAAAGTGAAGATTACTCACGTGTCTGGAGTTATTCCTAGGCCAAAGTAATTTCAAACTAGCATCAAGTATTTCAATAATATCCCTCTCGTCGCAATCAAGGATGAAAAAACCTGAATCTTCATATATAGAATTTAGAATAGATTGTAGAATCGTATAAATTCATGTAGGCACCAGCTGATGGTGCGTTCTTCGACTCAACATTGCTTTATTCACTCCATGTTTCATATCATATCTCGTCTTCGAAGGGTCAAGATGATGTACTTTTTCAAGTAATAAAATCTCACGACGACGTCACGCTATTAAGATACTCTTCGAATCGCGGAATCGACGAAATAGAAGCAGAAGTCGTGGAATTTTGAGACTCGCACTGTCAAAGGAATTTCCTCGGGTGGTAGTCGGCGATGATTCTACGTACGCGAAGTTTATGCAAATCGGAAAACGCTCACATTTCATACGACCACCGGTCGAGCACAACTGCCGATACCTCGCTAGTTCACCCTTGGTTATATAGCACGACACCACGTGGTCATCTAATCCATCGACCAATGGTAGGGTGGCTTTAGATAGACGGAACCAATGGACGTTCCACTTTAAAGCTGCAAGACACGTGTTTCTTGGGAAATAAGGACATAGGAATTACGGGCAAAATCGTATTTGCGTTACCAAAGTTGACCGATCGAATGGTTGCCCGTATGTTGTCTGTGCACGTCAGATCCTCGTCTCTGCCCTCAATCTTCGTAAGTCGTGTCTATCATTTCAACTAAAGAACTTCTAAAGAATTTAAAGTGCGAGAATCCGCCGTCTCTCCGTCTATCACCGAATATGCAAAGACTATATATCGCTTCTCAACAAAAAATTGTCGATACATTCCCAACTGCCATATTTCTTTTCACACATGTATAATTTCTCGTCTTTTCTGTTCGGATTTTTATATTATTTTTTTTGTATGGCAATATTTGTCGTTTACTATTCAATGATATAAACTTGTCTTCAGAGCCCTTTTCTTGTAGAGATGACTTGAATCCAGATATATAGATGCACGAATTTTCATAAGAAGTGAATTCTGACCTGGCCGCTGCAATTTGTCACAATCGCCAGTGATGCCGGTTAGTAGTGATAGTGCTTAATGATTTTGTGAAGAGGTGAATCCCTAAAACGTACCCCACATACATACCGACGTGAAGCAAGTACTCCGTTCGGTAAATAATGGGATCCGGCATTAGGTCGACCTAATTTGTTCATCTTTTAACGCGATCGTCGTGACGGTATCCTCATCGTGGACGATAACGTTGATAACGCGATTTTTTTGGCAAAAAATTACTTTTGTCCAACTTCCGCCGAGTGCTTACACATTATTCATGCTCATACAATTAAAAATTACACTGGTCAACATTTTTCGATTTATTTTATGTCACAAAAGGAATGACAGATGATTTCGATAGGATTTTTTCGATAGATTACAAATCTGAAACGAAAAATGATCCATCATGTTACGTTTTTGAGAAAAATGGGGTCAAAGTGTTAAAAAAAAAAAAACGTTTTTGGCATTTTTGCATCTTTGTCACAGAGAAATGGGACGTGATAGAATACTTTCTGAGAAGTCAAATTAAAGCTTAAACTTTAAACTTTAATGTTATGAAGTAAAAAAAACATGTGACAATATTGTGAAGTCGTGCAGCACAAGTTTTTTGACTGGACGCACGCCAATTTTGATCTCGCGTTTGACAAGACTGATTTTGAACTTGGCATTTAAATTCAGCATAAAAAAATATCGGCAAAAAATAAAAATTAAGATACTCTTCGTGGGTACTGCAAAAACGTGACGCGATGAAACATTTTTCGTTTCAGATTCATAATCTACGGAAAAAACCCTATCGCGAAATCATCTATCATTCCTTTTGTGACAAAATTGTGTTGACCAGTGTTATTAGTACAACGTACATACGTACATATATAATATTCTAAATACATGCATTTTGTATAAATAGTGCATGTGCAAAACGATAAATGATTTAATTATTATAAATAATTATTATTGAGCAGAAACTAT